AACTGAGACTACTGCCCTTCTATGTGGGGCAACCCGGCTTGAACATGGAAGAGCAAGATCTTGGAAATCGCTTCGCTGAGACTTATTGTGAGGGATGAATTCGTGACGAAATGTTACTCTAAACGAAATCGTGTTCTGACTCAAAGACACATTTCGTGATCGTGAATGGTAAAACCTTTTGTTATGTACAATGACCTGATCTTCAGTGTGCTCCTCGCTTCTCGAGAATACATGGTAGGATTGACGATTGCTTATGACGTGACTTTGAAGGTTCCTTCTTAAGTCTGGCTCCGCCCATAGTATATAGATATCCACCTTAATTACTTTATAGCTATGTGCTCTGTCGCTCTTACGATCGTTTGGTCTCCTGACCGCGTGCACGTAAGTAATCGCTGGAAGTGGACTTTGTCAGGAGTGGAATGAGCCCACCGTTGTCTTCCATTGGCTGTTTCCCAATTGAAACGGCCACTGCTGATGAAACTTGATCACAGATGGGCTCATTCCACGCCTCCCTGACACGGTCCCAACGTGCGACGATAAGAACTGCACTCGAAATCCCTGAGATCTAGTGGGTGTGTCTGTGTACTTCGATTAAACGTGGCGGTGACTGGGCTTCTGGTGGGATTTTTTTCATTTCGACACGGTCGTGGTCATGCCTCTGCCCAACACTGAACAGATGACAGTTGTCTCAAACTGAAATATCCCACAAGGAACTCTTTCCATGCCATGTTCAAAGTCACGCCTACTTCGCCTCATTGTCAGGGATAAGGGGCGTACATATACGGACTTCCTGCACGTTTACTTTTATAAATTCGTTACAGACCCAAACGACTGCGTTGAGTATAGGGCGCCTAATGGTGAAGTATTTCCGAACCGTTGTATGACAAAGGACAGCGGTGCCGTTTGCCATGATGGCTTTGATACCTTCACATGCCAGTGTTCACCGCAGTGGACTGAAGAATTTTGTGATCTAAGTGAGTTTTGAAGCTTATACTGGCATACACTTGTACAACCGTCTGTTGGGAGAAGGAAGTTAAAGCCAAGCTGTACACTCACTCTCGGGAACGCCCCTTACATGTGCGAGGTTAATAGCTCCGCAGTTCACTTTTTCCTCTCAGAAGTGCAGGGGAACAGGGCTGAAGGGCAGCGATTCCCCTATACCGTCTCCATGCTCCGCCCACGCTAATCTCATTGTGCAGCACTTGTGTGGTATCAACGTCCAGCAGCGGAACACGTACTCAACGGTGGATGATAACCGGAAGGGTGCAGACAAGTAGCGCGTTTGGCTATGGTTAAGCGTGTCCATGGCCATGCAACAGCACAGTTGGAGTATGGAGACTACACCTAGAGATATTTCTACCCTCCAGCCCCGTTCCCGTGCACATTTGACAAGAAAGGTGACACGCTACAGCAGCTGCGGGCCCGTTCACCTCACAAATGGCAAGGACCTGGACCCACTGAGGTGAGTGTTCAGTTTGTCTACAAGGAGCTGGAGTGAGTATAAAGTAGAAAAGTTGAAGAGCCGTACGATTTGAACCTGAACATTTAATGGTTTTTGATTCGTTCAGATGCCCTCCTGCGTGATGTCCTCATGAATATCTATGGCAAAG